ATACTGTGGCCTACAGGTGTCATTTCAACACTTCTTTTCTTCTGGCTTTTAATACTTTCATTACGATCATCTTATAATAAATATTACAATTTTTGTATTTAAATCTTTTAAAGTTAGTTTTTATAAGTGTATATCTTTTCAAGTATAAATATAACACCAATGATTCTGTATTATAAATGTTTTCTGATTATAATAAATATGCAAATTAGTCTACTAACTTTTAATCAATGTGTTTCAACAATGAGGTAATTGTTTGCCATAAGGTAGTACATTACGCCTAAAAGCTATATCGATACGTCTATAATAAACTTGAAAATTCCCCCCACCCCAAAGAAACTCCCATATAAAGTTTATCATTGAATATATTTGTAGAAAACATAATTATAAAAACATTATATATATGCCATTTTGGCGTGATAGCGAAATATACAAATCAAGCATATATCCCATATGGCCTATTTTCTAGTTCATAATGGTGATAGTTTGTACCCTTATTTCCAAAAACTGCACCACATTCTAGCAAACACCAATACTCTTTCTAAAGTGTTTACATATTAATTCTATCTTTCAATTCGTGTTACGGGTTAGCGCGAACGCAGTCCCCCGCTACCATAAATTATACACCCGAGTTCCCCACATTTGGGGGAATGTGTCAACCTCCGCCAAGTGCAATGCCGAGGCCTCACCTTGGAAGGACATTCCTTCTCGATCAAAGTCACTCCTGTGCCAGGTAAGTATACGTCACCATGGCGTCCCTACCAGTGGCGGCTTTAGGATATATTTTCTGGGGGCGGGGGTGACCTGAGCTCGTAGGCTGGATTTTATCAGGGAACAGTTAAATTAATTGAAATGTAATCTGCAATATGGGTTGAAAACAGATCATTAAGACAAAGGTGCTCGATGCGGAGCAGAGGAATATATTTATCAAAAAAAAAAAAAAAAAAAAAAAAAAAAGAAGATAATAAGAAGGATAGGCCTAACATTTGGATACCAATCAACATTTTATTGCACTACAGGCTGTCTCATGAGGTACTTCCTCAATCAGGTGCTAGGCTCTGATTCAGAATTTGACTCAACCAAGTAGTAAGGTTTGTTGAAGTGGAATTATTCTCGCTTTGTGAAATGTATTATTCTTTCATTACACAGCGTGCCGTATAAACCAAACCCAATTGGAATATTTTGTGTCTTTTATGAATGACATTTCAAAATTTGTGACAAAATGAAGCTGCATTGTTTTTTTATGTATTTTTTCACTTTTCGTGGACCTTTCGGTCATTGACAGTTTATTCACATTATTATAAGGCCCATCATTAACCAAAAAATAAAGAATTAGCCAATACGCAGAGTAAGGCCTATTTTCAATATATTTTATGAACTTAATACATCTTTGTGTATCATTTGATCGAATTTAAGAAAGTATAATACATACTCCAAGTATTGAAATACACGCCATCGTGTTGGGATTCAATATTTCGACATTAATTATGTCATCATCATTCCTGATGATGACATAATTAATGTCGAAATATTGAATCCCAACACGATGGCGTGTATTTCAATACTTGGAGTATGTATTATACTTTCTTATCTGAGATTAATCAGTGGACCTTTCGGTTTTTGATCGAATTTCATACCATTAAATTGAAAATATTCATTTAAAAAAAGATCACGCTGCGAGCAGGGTTCGAACCTGCGCGGGAAGATCCCATTGGATTTCGAGTCCAACGCCTTAACCACTCGGCCATCACAGCTGCACGCACTATAGAAGATCATACATGAAAGCTTTACCCCTGTGGGCAGTCACATGAATAGAAATAAACAATACTGGTTTAAAATGTCAGTCAAGTAGTTAAAAACCATCTAAAAATCACCTTATTTTGCGAATTAGCGCCACTCAACTGATCATCGAGTCCCCCTCCCACTTCACCTTTGTAGAGGTATCTACAATATGCGCTATATAAGTCGACAATTATTATTATTAAAAATAAATATGTGAAGGTGTTTGAATATTAATCTCAACACTAAGTTGATTGTTGTGATTTTGATTAACATAAATCATGTATATTGCATCTGGTATTCAAACTATTCTTCTGTGCAATGTACTTTGGTTATCCCTATTATACGCTGTTTAATAAGAGATATAAAATGTACATTAATTACAAAATCTATTAAAAAAAAATTAGGGCTCGTCCGAGAATTGAACCCGGGGCCTCTCGCACCCAAAGCGAGAATCATGCCACTAGACCAACGAGCCTTACTCGGTGAAGTCAACTTCATACTCCGCTCCTCTGTACTACCTTATGGCAAACAATGACCTCATTGTTGAAACACATTGATTAAAAGTTAGTAGACTAATTTGCATATTTATTATAATCAGAAAACATTTATAATACAGAATCATTGGTGTTATATTTATACTTGAAACGATATTAAATAAATATGCAAATTAGTCTAAGTTAGTAGACTAATTTGCATATTTATTATAGTCAGAAAACATTTCTAATACAGAATCATTGGTGTTATATTTATACTTGAAATGATATTAAATAAATATGCAAATTAGTCTAAGTTAGTAGACTAATTTGCATATTTATTATAGTCAGAAAACATTTCTAATACAGAATCATTGGTGTTATATTTATACTTGAAATGATATTAAATAAATATGCAAATTAGTCTAAGTTAGTAGACTAATTTGCATATTTATTATAGTCAGAAAACATTTCTAATACAGAATCATTGGTGTTATATTTATACTTGAAATGATATTAAATAAATATGCAAATTAGTCTAAGTTAGTAGACTAATTTGCATATTTATTATAGTCAGAAAACATTTCTAATACAGAATCATTGGTGTTATATTTATACTTGAAATGATATTAAATAAATATGCAAATTAGTCTAAGTTAGTAGACTAATTTGCATATTTATTATAGTCAGAAAACATTTCTAATACAGAATCATTGGTGTTATATTTATACTTGAAATGATATTAAATAAATATGCAAATTAGTCTAAGTTAGTAGACTAATTTGCATATTTATTATAGTCAGAAAACATTTCTAATACAATTTTCCTGTTCATAATGTTGATATTTTGGACCCTTATTTCCAAAAACTGCAACACATTCAAGCAAACACCAATTCTCTTTCTAAAGTGTTTACATATTAATTCTATCTTTAAATTCGTGTTAGGGGTTAGCGCGAACGCAGTCCCCGCTACCATAAATTATACACCCGAGTTCCTCACATTTGGGGGAATCGCAAGGGTCAACCTCAGCCAAGTTGCAATGCCGAGGCCTCACCTTGGGAGAACATTCCTTCTTGATCAAAGTCACTCCTGTGCCAGGTAAGTATGCGTCACCATGGCGTCCCCACCAGTGGCGGCTCTAGGATATATTTTCTGGGGTGGGGGGACTAAGTTGTCCGACAACTCGAGCTGGGGAAAGGAGCTGAGAAGGGATTCCCTCCAAATGAGATTTTTTTTAAAGAATAGCAACCTCTGGATGGCCAGAAATGGGACTCTCAGACTGTGACAGACATGTGTTAGCTTGGTGTGGGTCTATTTTTATATGTTTTATGGTATGACTGCCCAACGAACTCTGTCCTTCAGGTGGGCCTGACACCTGTCCGGTGGGGGACTTGAATCCCCCTCTCCCCCCGCTGGAGTCGCCACTGGTCCCCACCGATCGATCTGACGTGACGTTTTTATGTGGGTGTTTTATAGATTTTTGAGAATAGTAATATCACCGAAAAAATAGATAGAATGACAGTTGAATGACCAACAAGGACAACTGAAGACAATAGTTCGTCATTAGAATTTATTTAGTATAACTTTATTCGGAAAATTAATCTCCGAATTAATCTCCGAGTTGCCGTCCCCGGCGTTTTCAGTGACGTCGTATGAATTGTGTGCGATTTTTACCAACTAACCACTAAGTAAAAAATTTGAGGCATGTAGTACCTTGAAAATCAACCCAGAGACCTGGTAGTTTATTGATTGTTTATTGGTAGCTTCCCATCGCTGCCAAAAATAGTTGTTTGACAGTTGCGTCCCCGGTGACAGCGTGGAGGGCATGGTGAAGGTTGGTTACGATTTGGTGGCACATCGATTGAGTATTTTCATTCATCTGGCCATGTAAGTCAGTGGCGTATCTAGGTGTCATGAAATGGGAGGCTGATGGTGGGTGGGGGTGACTCCGAGAGGTGAAGTGGAGGGGCGGAGGGTCGATGATCAGTTGAGTGGCGCTAATTCGCAAAATAAGATGATTTTAGGTGATTTTTAACTACTTGACCGTGACTTGAACCAGTGTCAGTATAATCTTAGGTAAGCAT